AGGTCGGGGTCGGGGAAGCCGCCGACCTTGATGGCCAGGGGGACATCCTGACCGACATCCTGGGGGGGATGTGGGGGTGTGGGGGTGTGTTGGGAGAGGGGGGCGGGGGGGGGGGGAAAGACGAGCCACGTGAACGAGCGAAGCTGATGCCAAGGGGGATATAGACTCTGATACACCGCAGAAGTATGAAGGGAGTGACTAACCAGTCGGAACTTCTGAAGGGGGAGTTTTCGCGGCGATGTAGTCACGGGGCGGGGGTGGGTTGCGGAGGAGGAAGGGGAGTAGCCGTCTGTGTTCCATGAACTGCGCTGTGGGCGGTAACTGATGTGGGAAGGTCTCGCGTCCCGGGGTGTGCGTGTGTATGATGTGTGAAACAGGGGGGCATATCTTCACCCTGCGGCCGCTACCCTGCGAAACCCTGCCTTCCCCGGTATTTCGGGGCACCCTCATCCAGTCACCCTAGTCAACTTCTCAGTGGATCGCTCAGGTTCCGCACCCACCACCAGCATCCAACGGAATCTGCCGGGTCGACAGCGGCCCAACTCCGTCCCTGGTCGGCTCGCAGGTTAACTTTATCCCAGGTCACCACCGTCCATCAACTAGGGGCGCAATACCTTCCACCATCGGAAGGATTTTTGACCCTAACGGACATCGATCTCAGGATCTCCCGGGGGCAATGGCCGCGCGTTACCAGTAGCGCCAAACTCTAGTATGTATGTATGTACGTATGTATGTAAGTAAGTAAGTATTTTCGTAAGTATGTATGTATGTATGTACGTACGTAAGTGCGTGTGTTTCTATGTCTTCTAATGGAATACCAGGGTTCAGGGTACGGCAGGTAAACGACGAAGAATGTAGGTCATTCAACCACAACATCGAATAAAAAATCATCTCCGATATAGACATGTGTGCGAATTCGTATTGTACAGCGTCGTGCACATGCCGTACATACGTGGTTGCTGTACCTGTACGAGCTCTGTCAGTATGGCCTCCACTGCCGGCACGTCCTGGTAGAGGGCCACGTGCGATGTACCAACGTTCGGACAACTGAGATTGACCTTCAAACAGAAAGAAAAGGGGGGCCCGACCGGTTTGTGTGTGTGTGTATGTGCGTATGTGTGTGTACGTGTGTGTGTGTTTTGAGTAGTGGGGGTTGGAGGGGAGATGTGCACAAGGGGCAGGGCCACACGGGGAAGGGGCGAGTAGATGAACGATATTACAAAGAAATATATTCTCGACATCCTCATCCAGTATAGACATCCTTGAAGACGGGGGGAGGGAGCCAGGTTTGGGGTGGCAGAAACACACATATACGCATACACATACGTACATGTTAGTAGGAAGGCGGATATGGATCCAGATACAGAACAAAAGTACCTGCATAACGATGAAAAGCGGTTTCCGAAACCAAACCCAAACTCTGTCTATCTGCCCGTCAGTCCGTCTCCGTCCCCTCCCCTCCTGACCTCCAGCGCAGTGGCGCCCCCCCGCAATGCCGTACGCGCCGCCTGTACGAGATCCTCAGAAAAACTCACACCAGGTCTACCGGCCGTCCCTAGGGGCCCCACTCACCGCGGAGGTGGGCGACCGGGGGAAGGGGGGAGGGGGGAGGGGGGACAGGGGGCCAAACTCGCCTGAAGGGGGGCTTGATACCGGACAAGCCTAAACCATCATCACCGCCATCCTCACTTCCAGCCCATACCTCCTCCCCGGGGTGGGTCTCTCAACCCATCTTCAGGTGATGTCTTACACAAAGGTCATTCCCTTTTCCCTACTCTACCTTATGTCTTCATTCGTACATGATTCGTACATGATTCGTACATCATTGGGTAGGTTAGCTTACATAACTCCCCCTTCCCCCCACTTCCCGTCCCCCAATACCCCAACCTCCTCCCTCTCCCACCCGTTATCGACACGGCCATCATCTGCCCCGGACTCAGAGCCGCCGCAGCCCGGGGGATATCCACCAGGAGCTCCTCGGGGCCCAAACTGGGCATACCGAAGCTGTTTGTGATAGTCAACGGAACGAAGTTGCCGCCGCCGCCGCGGCCGCCGTCACCATTCTTGTCGCCCCCGCCGCTGCCGCCGGCAGCGCGTACGGCATCGATGTCGTCAGCGTGGTCGTCGCCGCTGCCTGTGGTAATGCTAGCTAGGGAGTCCTCGGGCGCTCCTGATTTCGGGGCTGGGGTGGTGGTGCTGCTGCGGCAATTGCTGTTGCTGCTCTTGCCGTTACAGCAGAACGGTGGGGGGAATTTGTCCGTGGCGAATAGCACCTCTTGGCACGCAGGACCGAAAGCCTGGACGAACAGAGTGGTGCAGCAGCGGAGCGATGTAGTTCGACTTGATGCAGAATGCTGCCAATTGTGATTGCACCGCAGGGCGTGGAATTTCTTTTCCCAACGGGCCATCAACAACAGCGCTGTGCAAACATTGACCAAGTTTCCTTCCCTTCCCGTGGGGACTTTAGGTGTTGCCGTACCGGGAGCTGTTTATCAACTTGAAGGTGAACGATGTTGGGAAGGCCGTGTCCGGCATGGTAGTGCGAGCGAATGGTCTTGTAAGTGAGGCAATCGAACCCCCGCGATGCGGCCAGCGCAACCCAGTCGGAAGAGAGCAAAGGTCCCGCAGCTACACCAAGAGGCGATGCCAGCTGCAGTATTGAGCGGGTGGGAGTGAAGAAAGGGAGCAACAGTTCATTTGCAGGAGAGTGTTTCAGGAGGAACGCGATGCCCAGCTCGTCAGGCAGACGTAGAACAACTTGAGCTTAATCTCAATAATTTCAACTTAGATAAGGAATGGCACAAACCTTGTGGTTAAGAAAGGTGACCCATTTGTCTTCCGGAGCCCAGCACCTTGCGGATGGCGGCAACTTGCGACATCGCTCAGGCAATCCGTTTGCTATGTTTTCAGACCAAGTCTTGTCTTCATCGTAGCAATATGACCGTTCGTCACATAATTCAGGTGCTTCACTGGATCGGTCGTCCGCTTCGCTGCTCGCCCATGCGAAGACTTTCGCTGCCGATGTTATAAGTGGTGACGCCATATGCCTCATAAGGACGCCAGCTATGCTTCGAACGTTATAGGGACAAAGAAGTAGCACAGCACGTACATCGGTACGCACCGGATGGTCATTCACGCAACCGCGTTAACCGTCAACAAATCTTATCATAATGTTACCCTGTGACACTTACGCGACGGCAGCGTTCCCAATGCAATGGAAACGTTTTGTCCCTTTGTTCTACAAATCTGTAAGGCTCGCAATAAAGTGCTTACGTGCATGCACCGAGCATGAATTGTGAAAGGTGCTGGTGCAAGCTACAGTAACAAGTGATCTGCAAACGTGCATTCTGCCTGCAAATGGGCCCATGGGCAACTTGCGGAGCCTTCCCATATAAAGTCCATACAATTGAAAGGTACCTGTCTTGGCAGCATTTTCTGCCTCCTTGGAACAAGCTTGTAATAGCTGCCAATATATAGCAAGCAAATTGGTACTGTTGGCTCGACACGTGCGGTCTGTGCTAGGACAGGCCCAAGCGCAAACCGGAGGTCGCAGCCCCGCGGGTCGTTGGGCTTCTCAGTTTCACTATCTTGGGTTCATAATGGTTTGTTGCCATGAATCTCATTATCATCACCTCCAAGTATATTGTCCTTGTTATGATTATCGCCCCATCGCCATGGCCGCATAGTAGAAGCACGGTGCACTATTTTGGAAGCCAGGTGCTCCATTACATGAATTGTTACCATTACAATTAAATTTTGATATCATAGTATATGCACTGATTATGTTTAGCCATCCAGGCCAAGAAGGGAGAACTGGTTAAACTTTGCTTGTGTCCTAGGAACGGATCGACCTGGTCTTTTCGGAAATGTTTTCTGGCACTGCTTAGAGGCTTAGGCTTACTGGACGTGTGCGGTAGCAAAATGGCCCGCGCATCGAGCGGGTCATTCCTCCTAGTTCTCATCACAGTTCTGGTCACGCTTTCTGGTTGCCTCGGTATTAAGTTTGACCCATGTCAACCGCTCTCAGAAATTGCAAGGGTTAGTACTGAGCGGTGGCATACTGGGCAGCCAAATGCAGCTGCCAACAGCTGCCCTTTTCGTTCATCCAGGGCGACGCGTTTCCTCTTGGTTTAGTTTTGATACCTTCTATAAACGCGAGTCTCTTGGCGAACCTTACAGCTGCAAACGGGGGTATGTGTAACACGTCGTTTCAGAATTACCTGGTAAGTTGCCTCGTCCCTGTGGCCATATCGCCGCACAATGGCCTCAGACCACACATTCCGGTTACAGGTCACCAAGTTCAACGCGCGCGTGGCGATATACAATATGCGGGTGGACCGCCTTCAGGTCCTCAAAATGCCTTTCCCGGACATCATCTTTAGCATGGTGCGCCAGGAGTGTACATGTGCGGGGGCGCTGGAGCTACTATCCGGTTTCATGTGGGTTCACACATGCACAAAGACCTGGACCTCCGCCTTGCCAGCATACTGATGCCGGCTTCAGCACCATCCAGTGTGCTAGGCTCCAATCCCCCCCACCCCGGCACGCCTCTGCTCCCGCTGCCCTCAACCCCCCCTTCCCCCCCTGCAGGTCAACGCCACCACGCCGCTGATGGCGCTCGCAGCCTTCAGGTGTGCCATATAAAACACAGAGAGCACGCTTGTCCCACCCTCCTGCCCATCCAGCAGCCCTGTGTCTTACTCGCAATCCCTAACCCCTCAGCCCCCATCTCACTCCCCGCCCCCCACAGTCCCCCTCTTCAAGCAAACCCCCGCCCCACCCTCTCGACCAACGCAATGTCAGGGCCAACGTCACCTCGGCGCCCATCTACATCGCTAGTGGTTACACGCCGGAGACGTACGGTGCCGGCTTCATGGTATCCACTGCATTGCTGCTCAGATTCGGTAGGAGAAGTCGGATGAGATGAGGGAAGGGAGGGGGAGAGGGAGGAGCCGCGGACATGTACACACAGGCACATGCGGATCCCTGCCTGACCCCTTGAACACCCCGTTGCATCACCACCACCACCACCACCATTACTATCACCACCACCAC